CCGGCTTCAATGAGCAACCCGCGGGCTGTCTCCGTGATTGCCCGGTTCGCTCGCTCGGCGATGCCGTTCATTGCAGGGGAGTATGGCATGGTAAGGGAGTGCCTTATGCCATTCTTCTTCAGCCACAAGGAGAACTCCTTTCTCAGGAACTCTCCCCCTCGATCGGTGCGAATTGCCTTCACTAACCGGTCTTGTTGCCGCTCCACCATCGGCAACCAATCGGTCTTCACCGTTTCAGCCACGTCACTCTTCTTGGACAGCACATACACCCAAGTCATGCGGGTGTAGACGTTGACTATGGTGAGGAAATTCTCTGCTCCAGTAGCTCCAAGCTTCAGGGGGCCCATCACGTCCATCACCACCTCATCAAGTGGTGCCTTAGCCGTTGCCTCCGAACGAGAGAACGGGTAACGGGTGAACTTGGCTTGCATGCACGTCGGGCAGCCAAGTACCTCATCGGGCTCCCCATTCACACGTATGCCAGAAACCATCTCATTCTTCACTAGCTGCTGCAAGATGGGCAGGGCGGCATGCCCCATTCGCCGATGCAAGGTGAGCCAATCACACTCCCCCGTAGCCGAAGTCAGAGTGGAGAATGACGCACTCGCAATAGTGCCCCACATGCTCTCTCCGTAGTCCTCCTCCGCTGCTGCCTTGGGGTTCTCCTCACCCTTGTGCTACTTCTGAGCTATTGCACCACTCTCCTCGTGTTCACCGAGCTTGCTGCTCCCTCCAAGATTGCACTTCTTGGACTCAATCTCCTTAGCGCGACCATTCGCGCCATCGCCGCTACCAACCGCTTCACCCTTGGTGCTGATGCTTGCTACCACTTGCCTCTCCTTAAGCATGGGGACCACAGGGATCTGCCACATCTCGTTGTAGACATCCCTATCCTCGTGAAGGTCCCAAAGAATCCGCTCGCCAAGCCTCGCGGTATAGGTTTTAGCTCCCTTCGAGCTCGTGTCCATGCCGGCCTTTTGCAACCGCCGCACGGAAATCAGGTTGGCAGCAAGGTTAGGCACCCAAATCACGTTCTTGAGGCCCACCATCTTCCCATCAGCACCCTTGAACATGGCCTTGCCCGTGCCTTTCACCTCTGCTCGCTGCTCCAAAGCCGATGTGACATGTTTCACCGGTGACGGTTCAAGTTTGGTGAGCAAGTCCGCACGAGGTGTCATGCTGTAGGTAGCGCCGCTATCGATCACCCAATAGTCCAGGGAATGTAGGGTCACCTTGGCTCCTCAAAGCGTTCATCCTACTCTGGACCAGCCGGTGCTTGTGTCGACACGAAGAAGAATTGACCCAGAAAGCGATTGTCCCTCGAATCGCTCTCATTGCCACCATTCTTCATACTTGCAGCACCACCTCCGCGATTGCCACGGCCTTCACGGCCTCTTCCTCTCCCTCCCCCTGCTCCTCTACCCTCTTGGCCTTGAGCAGGAGTCCATCCATCAGGGAGTTTGAAGCAATCGCGCCACATATGTCCGCTCTTGTGACAATAGTGGCACTCTGCGTCGAATCGGCCGCGACCGCGTACGTAGCTCTTGTTGTCGCTGCCGTATCCGCCACTCCCGTGGCCTCCATTGAAGTTGTTGCTGCCAAATTTGCCTCCCCCTTGTACTCTGCCCCTTCCACGGCCATACCCTCGGTGGATGCTTGCTGCCCCGACGCCATCCGCACTCGCCAACTCACGGCGGCGGAAGTCCTCTTGAAGGATTGCTCGCTTCACGTCTTCAAGCGAGAGGCGGGACAAGTCACGATTGAGGTTGATGATGAGCGAGGACCATGACTCAGGGAGTAAGGCCAGCAACTTGGTCTTCTTTTGGAGCTCACTATAGTTCAAATCAGCTCCCTCAAGCCATGTCAACAAGTCGAAGAATTTCTGCACCCCTTCTTCAATCGCTTCATCTTCTTCAATTCGTAGTGCCGCCATTTGCCGTTCCAACACCACCGCTACCGCCACTGTTGCAGGAGCGTGTACACCCTTGAGAGCAGCCCATGCCTTTGGTCCCTTCTCTGGTTCACGCTGGAATGGCTTGGTGTGACGGATCTGGCTGCTCCCCAATGCTTGCCCAAGTAGGAGATAGCCTTGTGCGCTCTTCTGCACCCACGGGCTCTTCTTCGGGTTCTTCTCCGTTCCTTCCATCACCTCCAGCAGGTCATAGTGGTCAAATACATTCTCCATTCTGAAGGACCATTCAGCGAAGTTGTCGCCATTGAACTTGTCAAGCCCAAACACCCTAGGCTCATCCCTAGGTGGGCCAAGACTTGGTTGCATGGGTGCCATGGCTGAATCACGGGGTTGGCCTTGAGCTTGGGCTTCTCCACTGCCACCAGCACCTCTGCCACCCCTTTCCTCAGGTCCAGCCATTGTCGAAACTGCTCCAAAGGGCTCTGATACCACTTGTTATAGTCACAATAGGCTTGAATGTGCCTAAAACGAAAGATAGAGAGCACACTCGGATTTCTGCACAACGACTTCAAACGTTGATAGCGTTTTGGTCACACCTTCAAATGACCTGATTTAACTTGGATCAGGAGCGTGTTAACGTCGCCTACAATACGTAATTTAGATTGCACGATTTCATTACGAATTGACGACACAGCGTTGGTTTGAACGAACGGTACTATGGCAGCCACTATAGTCTTAGAACACAAGATAGGAAGAGTTACGAGTTGGGAATGACTCCCAGCTCCTACAAACCCCAAGAGCCAAGGTACAGTGATGTGGAACAGTGCCACACTGTCCCCAACCACGAAGGGTCTCGAAACTACCCTCCACAAGGGCCTACACCAAGGGAAATGTTACACTACACAAGGTAATGTAACTATTCTCACTATCTTGAAGTTTACCCGTTTGGATAGCTTCAAAATCACTTGAATCTTGAAACCAAGGCTTTGGTTCTTCAAGGTAAATTCTTTCTTGAGTTCTTGGAAGTCTGCTGCGCACACCTGCGACACGCCGAACGTTCCACACACGACAAAATAGAAAACCGCACACGACACGCAAACGACGACGTGACACGCGACTAGCGATAACTCGCTATTGACTCGACACACACATTGAAAATCATGCCTCATCATTCCCACACTATTTTAAGCACGAAATATATAGTATCTCATGCCCTCATACCAATCCATGCACACACGCATGCACGCATACGGACAACAAGCCGAATGCAAACCGTAGGGTTGCACCAACACGCATACCAGGAGCTGGAGGAGCAGGGCAGGGATGAAGTTCGTCGCTGCCACAACAGCGGGTTACCGGGTCACTTACGACGGGAGTGTCGTAACCCGGCGGCATGCACACTGTGCGCAAGTCGTGAGCACATGCGGCGGGACTGCCCTGGAGCGCAGGTCTGCACTCGTTGTGGGCGGAAGGGGCACCGAGAGGCGGATTGCTACTCGAACCGGAGGGAGCGGCGAGGGGCTGAAGGAGAGGAGGACAGGCAGGCCACCATGGAGTGCTTGAGAGCACAGCTAGTGGACTTGGAGGTAGCAGAAGAGAAGCAACCGGGGATGGTGGCACAGAAGGAGGAAGAGCCGGATGAACCAGAATTCATGCTGATGGCTCAACCAGCTCGAGATCAGGAAGAATTGGGTCTGAGAAGGGAGGCGCAAAGACGGCTTTTCTGGGAGGATGAACAGCGCGAAGACGGGCCGAGGAGGCGGGCTAGCGAGAACGAGGAGGTGGATGGGGCTGCGTATCAGCATCCGCGAGAGCGGATGATCTGCCAGGCGACGGTCCTGACGATTGAACCAGGGGCGATCACGGTTGTGGGATTGCGAGTTCAACGTGCGATTGTAGATACGTGCTGATCGGAAAGCGTTTGGCGGAGAAACTACAGCTGCATAAGCCCGGGCGTCTGATAGCAGAGGGATACCTGCTGATGACTGTAGACGGTGGGGAGGCGAAGTTGATGCCCAAGACCCGGTAGTCCATGGCGTTGATGCTTAACCTAGGGACACTGGAGGAATGCCCACTGAGGGTATACTGCAGGGTATCCGAATCAGAAGACTTTGACCTGTTGATAGGCGTGGAGAACCTCTTCGGGATAGGATCAACGATCTGCATGTGGGAGGAGAAGGTGTAGTACCGTGTGCGATACTGGGAGGATAACGGCCCCATCGGCACGCTGTTGGTGCGGTTTGTACGGAAGGAACCAAGGGAGGCGTACCAATGCACTGAGGCAGAGCTGCGCGAAGAATTGGGTGTACTCTCGTGGCATCAGATTGCGAGGTTGCCGGCGGCACCACCAGGGGAAAGCAAGGGAGAAGCTAACCTAAAGTCACTATGCATGAACATGAAGAGCCTGATGGGACCTACAGTCGTGCTCGAGCTTTTCGGAGGCATCGGCACTGGGCTGGCGGTGCTGCTGAAGGCGGGAGCGTATGTGGAAAAGTGGATATTGGTGGAAAATGATGTGGAGGCGGTGAAAATGGCATGGTGTCACACGGAGAAGCTGCAGAAGAGGTATTTGCACCAATTTTGCTCGGTCGCAATGGAGGCAAGCGCTAGAAGCGGAACCTGCGATATACGCAGAATAGACGAGAGCACCATATGGCAATGGGGAAGAATATATGTGGTAATCGAAGGGTGGGAGTGCCAAGGCTACTCGCGAGCAGGAGCAGGCAGAGGCATGCGAGATGAGAGGAGCAGCCTGTTCAGGGAATTGGTGCGAGTGTTGAGGCTGATAAAGCGCGTGCAAGGGAACGTCCTGTACATAGTGGAAAACGTGGACATGGAAGGGGACATCCGAGAGCAGGTACAAGTGGCTTAGGAAGAAGTTACGGCGGTACTTGGGCCAAGCGTGGTGGCAGATGGAGCGCAAGTGAGAAGCATAACCCACTGGGTCTGCCGATATTGGACGAACGGGGTGAGTGAGGCGGCGCTGCAATACCGTCTCTCACTGATGGAACGGCCGGGGCCACTGCTGGTTGAAGACATCATGGAACCAGGAAGGATGCCGGCCCGAGTGGGGCAACCTGATCACCCGATGCAGTTCCCATGCAAAGAAGTGGGGAAGCCGAGACAGGCATGGCCGACGTTCGTCTCGTATGCAGAGGCGGCCGCCTTCAAGATGCAAGGCGACATGCCAGGACTGGGCATGGTGTATGACTGCATCGTTGGAGAGTGGCAGGAGCCGATGGCGCTGGAGAGGGAACTGGCGATGGGGTTCATGGAAGACGCAACTGCTCACCCGGAAGTGACAGAGGTAGAGAGGAGAAGAGCACTGGGGAGGGCCATGGACCTCAACGTTATGCACTGGTTAGTGGCGACCATCCGGATGTATCATTCATAGCTGCGGTGGGAGCAGAAGCATGACAAAGTAGTGGCGGTCCAACCCCCGACAGAGAGATCAGCAGTGAAGGAGGCCTTGGCGAGGGCCATGCTAGGAGAAATTCAAGAGAATGACGAGGTGCAACACGAGTGGGGTCATCTACTGGAGAGGAGATGGGTATACCCATGGGAGGAGGAGGATGAAGTGGCGGATCTGTACGCGGAGCAAACGCATATCTGGCTCCCATGTGATCGAGAGGAGGCAGGGGTGGATAAAAAGCGGGAAGAGTTCAGTTGGCTCGAGGAAGCCATCGAGAGGCAGCGAAGCAGGGAGAGCTATGAGCGGGAGTTCGGGTCACGAGAGTTTGACTTGATGGCAGCGACAAAGGAGGAGGAGCGGGCAGCGACGGAAGGGCGAGACGCAAAAGTGGCTTAGGGCGGCACTACAGCATCAGAGGAGGCGACGACGGCGGGTACCTCGCAGCGGCCGGAAGAAAGAGTGGGAGATAGGTGATGGCATGGCGGAGGAAGATGCGACAGCACCAAAGAAGGTGCTAGCAAAGTATCGGCCGGCCTTGGCATACATGTTAAAGGAAGTGGGCAGGTGCAACATGGCGGAGGTCATGATAGAGCTAACCACCGAGATCCCCGTGTACCAGCGAAGTTGGAGGATGACAGCTGAGAAGACGCAGATATGCACGGAGAAATGCCAAGAACTAATGGAGGCGGGATTCATACGTAAGTCAAATTCTGAATACGCGGAGGTGTTAGTGGTGGCGGCACGGACGGATCTCACAGGACAGATTCTGTCAAAGCGCATATGTGGAGACTACCAGGGGCTGAACAAAGTCACGATTAAGAAGAGATACTAGACGCCCATGCCGGACGAGTTATTCGACAAGCTGGCGGAGGCGCTAGTGTTCTCCACGTTGGACTTGCGGCAGGGGTTCAACCAGATCCCTATGGTAGAAGCAGACAAGAAAAAGACGGCCTTTCATGGGCCAGATGGGCAGTACGAGTAGAATACCTTGCCATTTGGCCTGAAGTCAGCCTCCCTAGAGTTCCAGCGGGTCATGGATCAGGTGCTGCGGAACGTGCAGAATGCCGCCTGATAGTCGTTACATCGACGACGTGATCGTGTTCAGCACTGACAGCCACTCGCACGTGAAGGACGTGGAAGCCGTACTAGAGGCCATCCAGAATGCGAGCATGACCTGCCACCCGGGAAAGTGCAAGTGTGGGCAGAGAACTATAGAGAACCTGGGCTTTGAAGTGGAAGGGGGAGAGATTGAGATCCAGAAGGCGAAGGTCGAGGTGTTGGATAGGGTGGCGACGCCGAAAGACAGGAGCACGCTGCGGGCACTGCTGGGCTTCTTAAATTACTATCGCAAGTTTGTACCGAACTTCAGCAGCTGGGCATCCGCACTGAACCACCTGCTGAGGGAGGATCGAAAGTGGGAATTGGGGCCAGAGCAAGAGAAAGCAGTGCAGGATCTCATGGGGGCAGTGAAGAACGGGGCGGTGCTGGAGCTGCCAAAATCGGACCTGCCTTTCACTCTATATACCAATTGGAGCAGCGCAGGCATGGGCGCGGTCTTGGCGCAGATGAAAGGGGAGGTGGAGAAGGTAGTGGCTTTTGCAAGCCGTAGCTGTAACGCCGCCGAAGCCAACTACTCGTCGTATGAGGGGGAGGGACTGGCGGTGGTGTGGGCGGTGAAACACTTTCGAGTGTATTTGCATGGTAGGAAGTTTACGCTGGTGATAGACCACCAGCCGCTGTTGTGGCTGATGCAAACGCCAGACCTCACGGGATGCAACGCCAGATGGGCAATGAAGCTACAGGAGTACGCTTTTGAGATCAAGCATCGGCCGGGAAAAACCATGCAGCACGTAGACGGTCTCTCACGGAACCTGCCAGAGGTGCATCCGTCAGCATGCCTGATGGCAATGGCGAAAGAAGTGGACCAGAGACAAGCGTGGGGGGAGATGAGAGGAGGCCCCGCGGACATCTGGAAAGAACAGGCAGCTTTGGCTTGGATACAGGGGACAACAATGGAAGAGGGAGAAGTACCCGCTAGGGTGCGGGCCAGGGGTGAGCACTACCGCTGGTTCGAAGGACAGGTACAGCTGCAAACAGGAGAGGGCTGGAAGCATGTGCCGCCCCCAGGAGAAAGGGAGGGCATCATACGTGAAGTACACGAGAAGCTGGGACATTTCGGGCCGCTAAGGACGCAGCAGCTGATGCAGACAGGATGGTGGTGGGCGGGCATGCGACAACAGATCAAAGACTGGGTGTGGAAGTGTGAGGCATGCTGGCGGAACAGAGCCGTGCTGGAGCGAGAAAAGGCAGAGCTGCAGCCGCTTCCCATAGTGAGTCTGGGTTACAAGTGGTCACTGGATATAGCAGGAGAACTCCCGGTCACCACAAAGGGGAGGAGGTATATTCTGTTGATGGTGGAGCATGTCAGCAAGTGGGCAGAAGCAAAGCCGCTTGTGCACAAGACGGCAGACGCTATAGCAGAGGCATTCGAAGAGATGGTGGTCACCCGGCTGGGGGCATGTGGGGAGGTACTGATGGAACTTCGAGCAGCTGCTGAAAGCTATAGGTATCAGGCATCGCAGCACCTCATGCTACCACCCGCAGAGCGACGGGCTGGGGGAAAGACTAGTGCAAACAGTGAAGAAGGGGCTAAGGGCCTATGGGGAAGAGCACAAAAGGGACTTGGATAGGAAGCTGTGCTGGGTGATGGCGGGGTACCGGTTCAGCAAGCAGGCAGCGCTGAGGGATGTGTTGCCGTACTACCTGCTGTTCAGCAAGGAACCAGTCATGCCGGTAGGAGATCCGAGGCTACTTTTGGATGTGGTGACTACGTGCTCGGCAGAGAAGTGGGTGGCGGTAACAGATGCGCAGGCGGCTTACCTGCGACACTTCCTGCCAGCAACGATGGAGAATCTACACGTGGCGCAACTACGGGACATAGAGCGGTATAAGCAGCGACAGGAGGCAGGCGGAAAGGGAGCAAGAGTAGGGGTACAGGAGGAAGAGGAGGTGTACCTAAGGAGGCAGCGGAAGCATGCGCTGGATGTGGGTTTGTCATAGCAGCGATGGACCATAAAAGAAAAGAAGCAATCTGGAGTCATAGTCCTAGAAGACGGGAAGGGTAAGTGGGTGGCGGATCATGTAACTAACGTGGCCATGATTCGCATGGAGAAAGGGAAGGCAGGACCCTCAGGTCCCATGACGCGCGCGAGGACGGCTGCAATGCGCCATGGGAGGGGGCAGGAAGGGTCTGAGGAGAAGCACTACAAAGGGCAAGGGCAAAGACAAAGTGGGGTAAGGATACCAAAGGCACCACTAAGGAGGAAGTGGGGAGGGTGGAAAGGCAGGTGGAAGCATCAGAGTAGTTACGCCAGTGAAAGGAGCAGGAGGGTAGTAAGGGGGTTTCCGACAGCTGTCACAATTCTAAGGTTTTCGCCTAAGAAGTTATGACAGAGGGTGTAGAGAAGGGCCTGGTGGGGAAAACCCTGTAAATTTGTATATAACAGAGCATCCGACAACGGAGGACAGGTATGGCAGCGGCGAAGCAAGGCAGGGAACTCGGCAGTGTGGGCAGTACCGAGGGTAACCATGACTCTGGGCAGCGGGCTGGGCAGGGAGTGAGGTGCGCTGGCAGGATTGGCAGCATGAGGACGTATGTGTTTGCGAATGTCGTTTGTGTTGTGTGCATGTGTTTGTTTTGCTTTCTTTGCAGGCACTGAGTCCAAGAGGGAGCTGGATAGCAATATCGCCAGTTGGAGGCAGGGACATCAAACGAGTGGTGAGGGTTGTTTGTGGGAAGCATATGGTTGTGTCCTGGGCCATGGGACTGCCACTGCGTGTTTGTTTTCGTGAATTACTGTAATTTCTTCCGAAGATTAGCAGTTTGCAATGAAGCCATATCCGCAGTCAGTATGAGGTAGGAAGGGTCTGATTTTGGAAGGGTCTGAGGAGAAGCAGGACAAGGGCAAGGTCAAAGACAAAGTGGGGTAAGGATACCAAGGGCACCACTCAGGAGGAAGCAGGGAGGGTGGAAAGGCAGGTGGAAGCATCAGTGAGGACGGGGTGTCAGTCAGAGCAGTTACGCCAGTGAAGGGAGCAGGAGGGCAGCAAGGGAGTTTCCGACACCCTTATTGTACACTAATATATATGAGTATTCCTGCATGCTTACACTTGCTAGGTTGGGATCAGTGCACTCCTCTTGCTACTACAAACTCTGCATGTGAACTAGCCTTGTGGCCGCTTGCTTGTGCGTGGAATGCGTGGTGATATTGAGATCCACCCTGAGCTTTGCTTTGCTTTGCTTCTTCTCTTGACTGGTCTTATGACCATTGCTTGCTCTGGCTATCCCCCACTGTTGTGCCAAAGCACTATAGTGGCACGGTCATCGCACTCCCATTCCGCCTACAAGCCTGCTCAGCTTCTGGAATTTTTTGGGGAGGTGCTTCAACATGTGTTCTTCACACCCTCAAAGTTTCAGATTTTTTGAAGCACTTTACAAGGCATGGCAACATTTTTAGTTTCAAGACTTATGGCATCCCGGAAGTGTGTGTTACTCTTTTTTTGGTAACATCTGAGTTCACCATTTCGGCTGCTGACTCATCTAACAAGCTCTTATTGGTCTGAAAATCGGTGTGGCAGTCCTTTGTCGTGTTGTGCAGGTGGTCACCGAGTTTCAGGACAACCCAGCATCGGAGCAGCACGTGACAGCTGTCGAAAGTTACTGTTCCGTAGTCATGGTGCACTGTTGGCAGCATTTCCCTTGCCACCCTTTCGTTGTTGTCATGCCAATGGTGCAGGGACAGAGAATGAGACAAGAAGTACAGGTGGTCAAGTGGGACTCTACCACCCTCCTTTTGAGAAGTGTGGTCTTCCTGGATCAGCTTGCAAGAGGGTGCAAGTGGGAAGACAAGCTGACTTACGGTTGGCTTGACTCACTATTGGTAGCCTTGAGTACAGCTCTGAACATCCAAGTGTGGTTGGATTTGCTGACCTAGCTAGGACATTTCCCATCCTTCTCTAGCCTTTCTCCCCTAGGACTCAACCTTCTCTGAGTTCCCAGGATGGTCCCAACCCTTTAAGAGTCCCCTAGGCAATGTTGTACTCACCTCTTCCTTGCATCAATGAAACTACACTTTTTCAGCCGAGCTCACGTTTTCGTTCACTGCGTAGCGCATACACCTCAGATGAAAGCAAGCAATACACCGTTGGAAAGCAGACACATGAAGCTAACTTTCCTCCAAGTTTCAGTCTCGTATGTTAAAGGAGCTGATCGTGACGGAGTTTTGAACAGAGGCGGTTCGAAGTCATCAGATTCTGCTTAGGCGGTTTCAAGGGCATCCGCGACCCCTAAGTGGACTCAAGACTATAACAAGTGGTATCAGAGCGGTTATTCTCTG